AGTGTGTGCTATTCAGTACTTTTCAGTTCTAACTGCGTTCTTGAATCCGTGTGGATTCGTATCTGCGGCGCACGGTCTAAATGGCACCCGAAACAATGCGCATAATAAATATTCTTGTCGGCGGGTTTTTGGGGTAAGGTGGCTCGGTGGCTTAGTGGTTTTAGTCAGGGTGCTGCTGGGTAAACCTGTTCCCCTTATTTATGGGCAGTCAGCCAAGGCAGTAGGGAACCCAAATGTATCTGTAAATATATGTATTTATATATATATCTTTCTATCTGTTTGACTGCATGCCACCGCCATACCACCAAACCGTTATAACTTTTGTTTTTGTGCCCCTGTATGCGGCTCTTTTCTTATTCGGCTGTGGCCTGTGCACATAATTCGGTTTCATTAATAGTTCAAATAACTGCACAAGTGCCTCAACGAGCCATCAAAGCCAGACACACACTAACCGTGCGCCATTTTTACGACCTCATAAACCTAGTGGCTGCTGTAATCTATTGATCTACAGACTTTCATACAGATCGAATTACAAACAATCGAGGGAATGTAAATACAGTCAAAAGTGCCTCTGACAGATGGTTTTTTGAGATATTAATGGAAATATTTTATAGATTATTATATCTAAAAAGGGTAGCCTGTTATGTAAAACAGTAAACAACATGCATTTATATAAAAATCAATTTTCAAATGTTTTCATTGCCCTTTATGGATCGAAGTTCCTCAAGCCTTGCTCTTAAAGCTCCAACCATTTAAGACATTTTTTCATAACAAAAACTTGCTTTGACCAAAATAACTTCCTTCAGATTAATTTTTAATTAAACGTTTCTTGTTTTAACAATTTGGGCAACCAAAACTAAAAAAATAAACTTAAATTCCAGTAAAATCATTAAAGTGTTGTTAAAATTTGACTTTTCCTTAAATTGAAAAAGTTTTACCAAATGTTGATTATAGAGAATTTGGCCTGTAGTTTCAGTATTGGTTTCATGTGGGTTACATTAATTTCGATTACACAACTGGCAAGTTGACAACAACGTCTGTATAGCTACACTTGACCAGGTAATAAAAAAAGGTAAAAAGTGGTAACAAATAAAAGTATACCTTAAATATCAAATAATAAGCCAATGCGGCAGTAATCGACACATAAGCATATGCAAACTCGAGGCACCGAAGACCAGATCGTGGCTCCACATCCACCACCTAGCATCCCGGGCCTCTTGTGTCCGCCTTGGCCAGTTTGCCATCGACATCGCCATCGGTTTCCCACGCTACGGTGCAGCTGCTCCGATCGCAGCGGATTGGATTGGATCGGATCGGAGTGGAATGGATTGGCGATGTCGAGAATGCCCAGTTGGTGGCTGATACCAGTATTCTAATGCGCCCGGGACACGGATAGAGATTAATTAATATTGCAACTCGTTAGGTGGCAACCAGGCTTTTTTGCAAATTCATTGTTTCACAATTTTTGTTTTTCTGGCATGGCGGAAATTCCAACACCAGTTTTTCTCCATTTCAGGAACTCCATTTGGGTTTGGGTTTCCTTTAAAAGCTGGTCTCAAGTTAATTATCGTCTAATGTTTGCATGACATCTCCCAGTAGTAATCATCGTATTATATGATCATCAGCGAGATGACGCCACTCTCTTGATAGAGATGAAGATGAACATAACTAATATACCTTACATAGAAGCAAATAAACTAAATATGTTAGACTTAACAAATGTCCGCTAAGTATCAAACACAATCTTGAGAGTTTTTTGGCCTTTGTTGTCGGCTATTTGTATTTAAAGTTTTTCTCCATTCAGTTTTGCTTTTTTTTTATATTTTGGCCCGCCGTCAAGGTCTTTTGGCGGCACAGACTCAGACAGCGATTTATGCGAGGGGTGTTGCCTTTTATAATTTGGCAAAGTTATTTGTGCTGTTGATGTTGTGTAATATTTGCCTTTGCTCGGAATACATATATAATTTCCAAGCCACTTATCGGTCTACGTGGAAGATCTGTGGGGGCGTGGATGATATGGCCCCCTGAGAAAATGCTTTAATGTCAAGTGTGGCTCACAGAATCTCGTCTTGGCTGGCATTGTTAAGGCTTAAGGCACTCGAGAAGCCAAAAACTGTGTTTTCAACAAGTTTTTTGTTTTTATATTTTCTGTATGACTTGATTGCTTCTCTGTTATGGGCACATTTCATCAAATGCTTGTTCACTCAATTAGATGTTGAAACTGAGGACGTTGCCATAGCTCTGGATTTTTGCCTCCTATTTGAGTTATGCTATGGATTGAGAAGTGAAGAGCTTGTGCATATTGAGCTTTGTTTATTGTTTGTCCACTTCTAATTGTTTCCCATGTTTCCCAAGCAGAACGAATTTAAATTTGATGTGGCTATTTATAGGATTTCTTAGGTGGTTTGCTTGCGAAATCTAGTAAGTAAATGAAATAGATCAAAATATGTGTACAAATATTTGTTTTAATTGGAAGTTCCTTTTGTCTGTTTGAGTGAAAACCAAATGTGAAGGTTAAAGGTGCTTAATGGCTTTTTAATATACCAAAAAAACTAAGATATTAACTTGCCTATAAGCAAAACAAGGTGGAAAAACAATGATATTATAAGCCAAATTACACGTTAAAAACATTTTTCAACTTTGTAACCTTAAATATCTCTTGACTTAATTTATTTTCAAAAACATATGCAAATTTCAAAATATATATAATAAAAATGCCCGTAATGGCGTTTAAAATCGGCGTTGAGAATATAATGAAACCCATAATTTTCCGTTGAATGATACCCTAAAAACAGTGATCTCAAGGAATTTGACTCTGGCTGGCTGCCTGCACATTCAGCAATTGGATGCCAAAACCGGTTGGCATCACTGATTCAATAAGCATTCAATTTAGCATCGATCTGCGAGTCGATCGTTGATTTATATAGCCCGAGTGCAACCGCGGAATGTCTGAGATATCATTTTTTTTTTTTCGTTTATAATTTGCACGCAATGAGTGTGCAGGCGACACGAGGCATTAATTACATGTGATGACATCACCGTCAACTGTCTGTTTGCAGATTTCAATTGCATATGCATACGCTCTCAAATGTCAAACGAAAGTTGCAGTTGGCTTAATAATTCGTACCTGCATAATAGCTGGTTTGTTTTTTTCTGTTTTCCATTGTCAGATTCACACGCAAACAGCAAAAGATGGGAAAATTGCGAAAGCTGGGAGCCTGTGGATTGCATATTTGCGGATAGTAACTTGACTTTATATAACCGACTTGCCCAGGGTGATTAGCTCTGATTGATTTGTGTTTTTTTTTTGTTTTATGGTCTTCGAACATTTGCATATAACCCCTCTTCAAAATGAAGTTTGGTTTTTTTCTTTTGGCTTGTAGCCAATGATTCGCTGTTTTTTTTTACTTTCTGGCAACACCACCATACGCACCATGTGCAGCTGCAAATTGGCCGTTTAAAACCTGTCTGCTATAAACCGCAACATGGGCATTACGTAACTTTCGCTGCATCTCGCGAATTACGCTTGTAGGTAGTGACCATGAGCAGTCTTTAAGTGCAAAAGTTATCATCACAAAAACAAACTCTAATTGTTACCGAATTTGGCGCAATCACGAAGTGTACACAACTCCAAGATGACCCCAAAAAAAAAACAACACAAAACCCCTGCACAATAAGAGACACAGAAAATTATCATTATTATCAAAACATTGTCATCAGAGAAAAAACAGGAGAGAAAAACTAGAAACACTTGGCCGCTGGCGTTGGTTTTGAATTTCTAGATGTTGCTGCTGTCCAACTGCTGTGCAACTTTTATTGGATGGCAAGCGTGCTAAGCATGGCTGGCTTTTAAGCATAAACAGCGCCGCCGGCGAAGACACGAAAAAATAATATACAGAAGAAAAATAACCCAGACAAACCAAACTAAAAACGAACCAAAACCCAAAAAGCAAGTTCTGTTATGCACAGTGGGTTGCATGGGTGGTTTTCCCCTGAAAAGCATATTGTGTATCTGAACTAACTGTGGGAGCTGCAGATATACTGGAGATAAAAACTCTAAACGATTTTCATTTTCTTTGTGCTGACATCGGCGATATGATAATATCGTTAGGTAAGGGCTTATGTCAATAGCATTTCCCTGGTTGCCTTTTGCCATCACGATTGTCATTCCGGGCAAAAGAGAAAGCAATAAATTAAATGCATATAAAGCCATTAAATTTCACTCATTGATCCATTTGGTATTGGCATTTGTACTGGTCGGTGTCGCCTAAAGCCAATTCCATAGATTGCAGTTTTCAGCCAAATGACCAAAAAGCCTTTTCACTCGAATTTTCACTTTGGGCTTCCTTACCGGGGTCTTTGTAACTATTTGGTCTGTTGACAAATGACATAAGCACTCCCAGCCATCCATCGAAAGGCGAACAAACTGTGTTTGTGTATGGCCAACAAAAGACCGAATCATGCTCATATATGGCCAGTCTTTAGCCGCCGTTTTGCTGACACTTTCAGGGTCAACTGGTGCGTAATCAATGGAATCACTGAATCACCGCCCCCGCACAAAAAAAGAGTTCAACATTTATGCGGAAATCGAAACCGAAGGTGGAAGACAACCTTAAGATGATCAAAATGCAATTCCACTGAGCCAAAAACAAATTGATGGCAAAATAAACAAGATAAGTTAAACACTGGGAAAATCTATTACAGTTAAAAACTCTTAACTTAGTTAAAGTTTTTAAATATGTTTCCATTACAAAGATGTAATCTGGCCAACTCTAACCAACTTATATAAAAACTCTTCGGATTTAATGGTACCCAATTAAGTTAGAATATTTTAGCCAAGTTAAGCTAGTCTAATTCTCATTTAAGTCGTATGTCCTTGGATTTCTCACTCTGTATACTCGTCTATGCATCCAACTTCCTCTCTCTATATATATGGGAATGTACTCCGAGGCACACGGTTGTGGGCTAAAAAATAAATAAAAATACAAAAACTGGCTTACCTTCTCTCCTCATTGTTATACAGTTGAACTGGCGTTGCTGTTGGTATTGTTTCTCTTATTTATTGTTAACGCTTTTTGCCAGCCAGTGCGACAGGTTGTTAGTTTCTGGCTGCTGTACACATTTCATTACATTACACACTTCACTTGACTGCTGCACCGAAAAACACCGACAAACATAAATATGTTAAGAAATATTAATATTAAAATCAAGGCGATGACGTCGTCTCCATGCGTGTTGGTGTGTGTGTGGGCCAAAAACCTTTACTGGTTCTGACCAAAATGCCAGCCAACACATTAAATACTTGGGATAGAGCGCGAGGTGTATGATATAATCATCATAGCTTGGCATGAATGAATGAATGAAAGGCGTTGCAGCTTCTCCCAAGTTGGTTCGAATCGGTTTCGAGTCGGCCCAAACACAATGGCCAAGACTTCGGAACTCGTCTAACTTAGCTCAAATCTTCTCGGCCTAAACTTTGCTTATATTGTTTTTTTTTTGGTATTTTTGCGGCGGCACAGCAAATTGCAGCGCCATAATGAAATCGCCCATAATCTTGGCTAAGGCTAATAATAGCAGCAGGTTTTGGAGCTGGCCAACACACACACACACACACACATAGACACAACGACAAACTCTGGCTTAGACACAGATATACAGATGGTGAGCAAATTTGGCCAGCACTCTGTTTGTTCTGTTTTATTTTTTCTCGCCAGCGGGTTAGGCGTTTACTTCACGCCGAAAAAATTCAAATGACACTCACGTAATCCGCTAAAAATAGTTGATTTTTTCGTTGGAGTACAACTTTGTTTTGCTATTGTATTGTTTTTCAATCTCGCAAGATTGCAAATGCGCCGCGGACCGTGGTTATAATAACGAAGCGAACGAGCCGCGATCTCGGCTTAAACTGATCGCTCGGCAGTTGCCACAACGTTCCAGCACCTGTGAGTGTGGTCTAAACTGGTCTAAAACGCGACTCGAACTGGTTTCTCTCTTGGCCAAGATAATCTCATCTCTCTAACGTTGGTCGGGGGCTCTTTCCCAACATTTCTCTCTGGGTTTTTGTGACTGTGCCGGTCTCTACCATCTGCACTTTGCACTTTTGGCGACTGCATTTTGTTGTCAAACTGCAAAAACTGCATTTAATAACCGTTAACCGAAACTTCTGCAACACGTGCACTCTATTTATGCACTGAGGAAAATAGTGTGATGTAAAGTTCTCCTTTTGTTTGAGGAAGTTACAAGATAAATGATATATTTACAGTTATTATCATATCAAGTGGCAATTTATCATTATAGTATATATATTGAAATGTTTTCAGTGCATTAGGAGTTTGAGTGGGAGGAGATGGGGTTTTGGTTGACGTTACAGGGGTTGGAGGTGAGGTGCATTGGAGGCTTACTACATTAGGCTTCATTGCCTGACAGGCACCACTTTTGGCCAGCTGCCGCACGTGACTGTGCAATGCTTTTGACTGTTGGCTGGAGCATTAGGGGTCAGGCTGGGTAAGGGAGGGTTCTATAAGTTGGGGGCTTAATTTGCATCATGTCATTAGGATGAGTGGCATCGATAATGGGGCCAGACCTCGGGCTCTCTGGGTCACTTTTCCCCAAAAATCTCCCCCCTTTTCATTCAACGTTTAAGGTTGCATTTTCAGCACTGTTGATGGTATTCAAAATGGTCACTCATGTAAATAAATATTGCATGCCATATTTTTCCTGCTAGTTCGCGTTACATTCCCGTACATAAACACCAGCTTTTACTTCAGACTCGCGCACCATAGAATATTTATAAAAATATTGCTCAAATTATTCAACAAAATTTGTAAAACTTCCGCTAGCGTAGTTTGCTTTTAGTTTATTTGGCTGAATCATAATGCTGGAAATATAATTTGGCATGAAGTTTTTGATGGGGACTGTCATAACTTTAAACAAAAATGGGAAAGCAAAAGTGGGAATAATAATCAAGTATAATTTTATTTTTAATTAAATGTAATTAAAGAATGCGGATGGTGATTTTAAGATGTTGAATTTTAAGCTCTAACCAATTTATTGGTCATTTGATAAAGATAACCTTCTAGTTAAGCAAATTAAATTTAATGTATACATTTTTTAACATTTTCTTCTTATTCCTTCAATTCAGCGAATGTTGAGCTATTTAAAGTTTAATATCCTTGTTTCTGACACGAACAGGATCCTGTGAGCACTAGCTTTGTCTATTCCATTTCAAGATTCCTTGTGTCAGCACTTTTTGTACTTATATGTGAGGATTTCTTTCTTTTTTTGTGAAATTTGTTTCGGTCCCTGGTAGTATGTTACTTTTTGTTTACTTTACGCATCAGGCGCAGCTCGAGAACGTCTGATGTTTGTTCTTTGGCACTGCAAGTCGTAAAAAGTTCGTTTTGTGTGCGCTCTGTGTCCTCTCCCTCGGCTGGTGTCATAAAAGTTGCATAAAACTGCACAGATTTTTCAAACTGAGCGTCGTGAAAAAGTTTAGGATATGCTTTAAATACAATGCTATGCAATCTATGCACGTGTGTAGGTCTCAAAGGATCGCTTTAACATGACCCTTGCCACTTGCTTTAAAGGCCAAGTCGTTTGTACCTTATGGGCTGGGAATGGCTGAAAAAAAATAAGAAGAAAGAAGTCAAGGAATACGGCGGCCTCGCATGTGTCAGGATTTAATTTAGATAAAAGCTTTTCCACACTTTCACTCCAGAACCTTTGACGTGCACCAGATAATGCCGCAAATCAATTCCGTAAACATTCTCCCGGCCACAAGCCCTGACAGCGAGACGACAATTTATTTTCATACCACTGACGTTTGGCCTGTCGTCGGGATTGATTCTACCTTATCAGTTGGAGAAAGTTTCTAGGAAAATTACATTTTACTCATATATATTAGCTGGACCTTTTGCAATTGGAAAATGATTCTATTTTACTTACCAAGTAATCCTAGCCTCGATTGTTATATAATATAATATTTACCTCAGACATCTTCACTCTAACCCTTTTCCAGCAAACATCAATGTAAATAAAAGACAGTTGCTAGTTAATTATTCATTGACATTTATTGATTGAATTTGATAATGTTTTCTCTGCAGCATTTTGTTGAATTTACATAGAATATGTGTTAAGGTTTTTCCTTTCTTCGTGTTCATTCTTATTTTCCCTATCGATTTGTTTTGATTTGATATTAGCTGTTGCACAGACACACAATTATGTACTTAGGTTTAGTTAGGAGTTTGCGGTGTTTCTGCTATTTATTTATTTATTTTAGATACTTACGGAGGGGAGCTTAGGAACCTGAATTGTGGCCCGTAATTGGTAATTGCAATAAACACATACAATTTATATGCATTCACATTTCAAAAACTATATTTTTAGCTTTGGTTTTTTAGTAGTTTAGTTTCTTTCAAAATATTCGTATCAAGTTTCGGCGGTAGAGTGTTTTATTTTTAGTTCTGTCTTGGCATACAAAAAATACAATTGTAATAAATACTTTGTTTCTGTTTCGGGCGGGGTTGTGCGGCTTATGTTGTGTTGTTGTTGTAAAATTGTGAAATGAAATATTTGAAACGTTTTTCCATCGAAAATAGTTGCCGTTTAGTTTCTCATCTGCTGGTCACTTGTAAATGTGGCAATTAAAAGTATTTGTATTTGCATTGGCATTGGCATTTGCATTCTGTATATATGTAGGAGGGCTCTTTGCAGGTTTCCTTTGTAGTCTGTAACTAGCACAACGATTGCACATTCAAATATGTATATATATTTTATATAGTTATAGTATAGGTTTTTTTTTGCATGTTTTGGCCTTCAATTTCAATAGTTTCAGTTGCTTGTTGGTTTTGTTGCGGTTGGGAAAATGCGTTTGGTCGTCTCTTTTGTTTTTGGCCAATTTTTAGCATTCTTTAACAGTTTCACTTCCAAATGAAATTTCACTTTTATTTATATTTACCCTACTCTGCTTGCTTCACATATATTTCACTTATATTTTATTTTTGTATTTTGTTAGCTAGTGCTAGTAACATGAATAATTTTATTTGATTTGATTTACTTGTGTGTGTGTCTTTGAATTGTCTATTCGATATAGGAAATTATCATAGGTACACATATCAACACAGTAGTAGTTATGGTTGGTTAGTACAGCAAACTCTTGCCTATATTTATGCTTATTATCCCTTTAACTATTTATTTCTCTCTCTCGTTACTGATTTTGCTGGACAAAAATTCTGGAAGATAGCAGTTTTTGAAGTGGGGAGTTTCAAGAGTAACAAGTGCCCTTTTCTTGGAAGATATTGAGTGTAGGAGAAGGAGGAGCCTTAGTAGAACACAGCACATAGAGCATTGGAAATTTAATGATCGTACAGCGTTGACTCTACTTCGATGTTTGTCTCTGGGGGATCATAGCTTCCCTGATCACTGTCGATGTCTTGGCGATGGCAGACTAAATCATGTTGAAAGTGGAAAACCAAACTTAAATATAAATCAAAATATAGATCAAGACCTTGAAAGACTGTGCAAATATATATTCCAAAACCAAAGGATTCTCTTACAAACTAAATACTTGATTACCGATTAATTATTTATCCATTTATCTATATATATATATATATATAATTATTTTTTGCATAATACTCCATTCATTTTTTTTAAATAACAATCATGAAATTTCTTGCTGTTAAGTGTAAATATTAAAAATAGTTGTAATTTGACTTGGATTTTCATCTTTGTTGTGCATCTTTTAGTTGTAGTTTATTTTTTAGTTTTCTTCACTTTTCTCTAAAATTGTCTTCAGCCACGCCTCCCACTGTCTCCTTTGCGAAAGGTATAAAAAGTTTTCCATGCTACAGTTTTATAGTTAAGAGTTACAGTGTCAACAATTCATTTCATTATCCATAATAGATATATACTCGCATATATATACACAGCTAACCGCGTGCATAGGTTTAAGTTCCTTCATCATAGAGACCGTTGTATATAGTACAAAATTTACAATAGAAGCGAGACCTTCTCAATGGGTACAAAACAAATTTTTCGGGGAGTTTGGGTTGGCGGATAGTGGGGTAGTGGGTGGTAAAATCGGGGAAAAGCCCTAAGTTGTGTATAAGCAAAAGAGCTGAAGGCTGCCTCTCAGGGGGACAAGCGCGTGTCTAATAAATTTATACAAAATCTGTGCTCAGAAAATAGTTTACAAATATACTTTAGACTTAGTTACACTGTCCTTTGGGCGTGATATAAAATGTACAAATCATGTACATGTATCTCATATTTATTTGTATTTATATTGTAAATAGCTTTGTCCTGTATGTCTGGTTGTGATTATGTTTCGTGTTTGAGTTTTTCTGGGGGGTTTTTCAAGAAGCTCAGAGTTACGCAGATTTTGATTGTTTCTTGGCGTATTGGTAGAAAAGATGCTGAATTGTCGTTTTGTGTATATTTAGGTATACATGTTGCTGATATATTCGTAAAGTTTAAATTGACCCAAAAAGTGTTTTGTGTGTATATACTCGTATGTGATATTTGCGTTTTTTTTTTTTTTTTTTTTTTGGTAAAAGTCTTCAAAACGCTGGAGTAGGTAGCTCTGTGTGTTTCGTATATGAGATTTTGCTGTCTAATTACTTGATTTTTGTTTTCTTTGATTGCCCAATTGTGACAATTTCAGCAATGCTAGGCTTCTAATAAGTCCCTAATTTGTGTGTTTCAATTTATCCATAATTTTGTTTAATCAACATTCTGTGTAGAGCAGGGAATTCCAGTATTGGATTCCCATTTTTCGTTACTCGTCACTTAGTTTTTGCACCATTTGAATTTCGATTCTTCGCTAACATTTACAAACTGAAGATAAGAGAGGAGTCTTTGTCAAACAACTAGAGTAAGTACAATACATACAATGCTGGATTGGATACAATTTAGCTTTGGTTAAGTTATCATCGTCGCCATCGATGCAATTACATTGCTCGATCTGCGCTTTCGTCGGGGGTTTCAAAGCGTTTTACAAACGGTTCGTTCGGTAGTCCTGTTTCCTTTCTATCCTTTTTATTTTAAAAAAATCAATTGATAAATCTCGCCTTCTGCTTCCGTACAAAGTCCTGGGCCTGTTTATCGTTGATGCGCACCTCGAGGATTTGCAAAATGGGATTGCCTTCGATGGGGGAAAATATTTTATACATAGCATCGAAGATGCTTTGGGGTCATAGAAAATATATTTTACTCACATTTATCCTTTTGCTCCATGAGTGGCAGCTCGATTTGTTTCAGCCCATGGAAGTTGTCCACACTGGTGCTGTAGTCAGCCACTCCGGGTATGTTTCCCAAAGCCAAATAGGCTTCCCCACCAAAATCATTGGCGGTCAAGACATCATGGTCCATCACTGTGAAGCAAATCATGGCTCCCTCGGTTAAACATTGCTCCAGGGTCACGGAGAACTCAAAGCATTCGTCGAATACGGGGTTCAGAGTGCGCTTAAGGGGTAAAATTATATACAAAAATTAATGTTATGGTTGCTGGACAGAAAATTTTAATCACATTTAATAACTTTTTTCAGAACTACTTTTTCTGAACCCCTTAAAATAGGGAATATCCTACCTTATGCACATTGGTCTGCTGCTCCATGCAGTGGAGAAAAATCCTGCGGGGCAATAGTTCTACAACAACAAATGGATCACTGAAACCATTCGGGTCCAGAGGCACCACATCCCTGGCATGCAGAACCTCCACACAAAGTGAATCATGATTAAAGTAAGCCCTCACGGCCAGCGATCCATAAGGAGAAGGCATGACTGCCATAAGTTGCTCCCTTAAACGTTGCATATAGAACATATCGATTAACCGATCCGTGTCCGTTTTGTGGAACTGAAGCCTCTGCTCGATGCGCCAGAAGTCCTCGGTGTGCAGGCACTCCAGAAGTAATCCCTGACCCTCGGCATGAAAGAAATCGATGAGAAGTTGCAGTGCCTCATAGAGACGTTTATGGAAGTGCGTCGGCTTGTCCGTTTCATCACCAGTTTCCATTTGACGGGACATCTCGCCTAGGACAGTTTTCCAAATAAATCGCAGCGATCGATTAAAGTTCTTTGTGAGCAGGGCGCTATTTAGGGCAGCGAGATGACAATCTAGGTACTCCAACAGCGGGACAATAGCTTGATTAGCGGGCAGGGAGTCAGGTGACCAGGCCAAATGGAACATGGCCTTCTGCAGGGACATCTGCATGAGTGGAGCCAACTTGGAGAGAATTCTTTCACAGCGGTTCTCCATGTGGGTAAGACTGGACTCCAGAAGGTTATCTGCCGACTCCTCTAGAGGTTGTTCATCGGATCGAAACTCCGCCAGAGTGCGACGCACATACTCCACATTATTGACCGTGACGCACATATCATCGGAGCACCGGAATGGACCCTGTTGTTCGTAGTAACCACTGTCCGCCAAAGCGGTGTGAATCAGATCGCAATAGTGCATGGCAGCCGAGCAGACCACGTCGATTAGCTGTGATTCCATCATGATGGCCGTATCCTCATCGGGCCAATTCATTACCTTCCAGAACTCTTTGATGTTTAGTAGAGTGCTGGCTGTGTCCACTGAGGAGCTACTGTAGCGCACAATTCTCTCACCCTCACAGATGGCATCCATGCGAATGGCTGCCCTAATCCTTTGCAGTGCCTTGGCCTTGCTCACCATCATCCAACGCTCCAGCGTGGGTATAAACCACTCGTGGCTATTGCTCAAGGCCAACGGCTTCTCCGGCGGCTGTGGCTGGGTGGACAGGTGTCGCTTTAGCTGACAGAATTCCTGTAGGGCCAGAAACAGCTCGAATGGCTTGGTATCCACCGGTTCCGCATCGCCCTCCAGCACAGCGTACTGTGAGAGATTCATTCGTACCCCGGGCACCTGGCCAGCGGCCATCCGGCTGTACACCTCCTCGCCCACCATCGCATCGTATTGTTTGTAGATGATGCTGAAGTACTGAATTCCATTCGTGCTGTCGAGAAAGAAAAAGCGTTTACGTGGTTAGGCATCGATTTATGGGATTACTTTGTCTCTGGGGTTCAACATGGGCTACACAATAATATCGATTTGACTATTTGTATGGGGAACTTTTTGTTTGTTTTACCTTTTTACTTTGTTTTGTTTTTACAAAGATTTTTTTTCGAGAGAATTAAGTTACGCTTCTAAATTGAACACTTAAAAAATATGGTTATAATTTTATTCAGTTTAAACAGTTCAATTATTAATAATATTGAACTAAGATTTAGACTGCCTTTCGCTAAACGTGAAGAACAGAATTTCGCAATTCCTCTTCTTCCTTATCCTCGCTCATCCGTCAGTGAGATGGATATATGTACATGCATTTGATCTCTTATGCTAATATATGTGATAGAACGTGATAACAATATACAGCTTACAGTTAACTTTGGCTATTCTATATACAATGGTCCTGGTTAGTACATACTATGCTAATGTAGTACAATGGGCCTTATAAGAATGTGTCCTACCACAAAATGAAATTAATAACCTAATTTTCAAAAAATCGATAACTTGAAAACACCTGACTAACAATAACCCTTTAAATTACCCATTTTTCGTGAGGAAGACAAATAATGACCAAACGAGTTTAAACCGAGAAAATGTCATAATTAGCCTCCAAGTAAATTTTGCTAATGCCCCTACCCTCAGCACTCAACGCTCAACACTTTGGCTGACAGCCTCTGGACATTTGTTAAATGCCTCGTCAGGATGTCCGGGTTGCTTGCCCAGCCGAAAGCAGAGGAGCAACGTGAGAGCATTTTTATGACAGCGCAATTAATTTGGGGCTTATGTGTGTAAGCCACTTGATGTCCTCATTAAGGTCCTTTTATGGCCGCGCTAACTGGCAAATATGTGACTGATTAGTCCGGCGGGAAGGCCAAGGGATGCGGCTCTATGCACCTATAAATGGGCCCATTATTGAAGCAGCCTTCCGGTTGCGTTTAATGACGTAACGTGATCCGTGCCGTTAGGTGAATCGATTTATCATTTCATTTCAGAGAGATTTCGTCAAATTTTCGAAGAACAAGTAATGATTATTAAGTTATAAAGGGTATTCCTTTCTGAATAACTGTAACATATTCAGGAAACAGAACCTTTGAAATTGTTTCTTTCAGTACACTTCTATTAAAATAGTTAAGTTGAAAAACATTTCCGCCACTTGAGTCGATAAACCCTCCCACTTTTTGGGTGAACTAGTTCGGCCATTCCCAATGCCGGTGGCAATCTGTCATGACAACATTTTGTGGCCCTCATTAATGCTCGTTAGCTTTATGACTTTGAGTCGACCATTTGACAAATGCTCAAACTGATTAGAGACTGGCAACTGTAAAGTGCTCCGCCCCTGGCGATGATGGCGGATTAGTTGGAATCGAAATGACGCCATTTGCGTGGGGGGGCAACAATTCAATTGGGTCAACACGGAGCAGCACATAGTGCACACGGTTCACATGGTAACCCGGGGATCTAGGATGGCGGGACTTGGCTTGTTTTGTTAAACTGCTTGGGACATTTTCTTTGTTCGGTGTAAGTGTGGACCTTGGATCCGTTTAATGGTCGACACGTGTGCCTCATACATACTCAATCCGAGGCAGGAGGGGATTCGAAAAGGTAACTAACCGAAACCGGCGACTAAAAGTGATACGAAAATCTACTCACTTGTCGAAAAGGGCATGATAGTACGTCTGTCCCAGCTGAATGTCGGCCGTTAATGTTGTTACGAAATTCGATAATGGATTGGGCAGTCCCTGCGAATCTCGCATCACCGTTTGGCCCCACATCACGGATCCTTTGCGTAGGGCGTTGACCACCTCGCCCCTTACGCCTTTATTGAAAGGACACACAGCTCTGAAGGCTCTCATCGAACCAAGGAGTCCTAGGCAGCGCAGCAGGAATTCCAGACGAATCAACGACGGTGGATTCAGGGCGGGGAAGATGTCCCGGTGCCGACGGATTTGGTTGAGAGAACGCTCTACAAAGCCATTCATTGCATCCGCCAGCCACTGTTCGAGATCTCGACTGAGAGGCTCTTGGTTGGGCTGATTCCACTGCTTCTCCACGTCACTTAGCAGGCGATGGAGGAATTTGGGGTCCAGTGGGGTGGATCGATTCAGTTTTGCAGCTGCTACATATCTGGAAAGGGAACAGGTTGAAGGAATAAGGAGTATTATTCTACTACTCTTCTACTACTCTTCTACTACTCTTCTATTATTATTCTACTACTATTTCATTAAAATACATTTTTTATTTTATTACTTTTATAATTTGAATAACTTTATTATCATATACTAAAAACTCACCTCGCCATGGCACAGTGCAAGTCCGATAGATCCGCCTGAACCGCCAGCTGATGCAGAATAGTTAATGCAGGACCCGGTAGATCCCCACACCAGGTCCATGAGGGTTCATGCGTGGTCACCTCGTGCTGCATGAAAACCCTTTGAAGCTGCTCGACCTTGTGGATCTGCTGTTCGTGGTTCTCCTCGCTAACAGTGCTCCTATCTTCCCTGGTCGAAAGCCACAACTTTAGCCGGATTCTACCCTGAACAGTGCTTCGATGACTGCGTGCCTCCAGCTTGAACCAAGCATCTAGTCCAGTAGATGGAATTTCCGACAGCGGAATGTTCACAGAGCCCAGGAAATCGTCCTGGGAACCCTGGCGAGCAGATTGACACACTTGCTTGAAGAAGCGTCCCAGTCCGCGAACTCCACGGACCTCATTCAGTCGCGAAACAGCGTCCATGACGCAGCTTTCGTCGTCGTGGTCCCAAATGTCCAGGTGAAAGGTGTCCGTATTGATGTCATCTATATCACTGCAGGGGATAAATCAAGGATTAAACTCAATATTCGAACAAGTGATTTGTGAGATTTATGTAAATTTATTTGCAATTTACACAAATCCATTCATTTAGGATTTACAAATGTTAGCATGTGTTTATGGCTCCTGTGAAACAGTTCTCTGCTCCATTTAATTTATTACATGATTTATTACTGCTCTTAAAATGAAAATTTCTTAGAAATGACACGCAATGGTATTTACAAAATCCTACTAAGTTCGTAATTAAAATGTCTGATTTCTGAGAACTAATTAAAACCAATTCACAGAAATAACCATTAATGTCTCATTAAATGTTTATGTAATTAATACTTCTGATAAATGTTAGTTTATTTCTAAGAATTGCAAACAAATATTTCCTCATTACTTGAATAAATAAATTTCTTCTCAGGAATATTAGAGTATTTAACAGTCGCTTTTATTTTTTCCCTTTTTCCTACTTCATTTTTATTGCAATTGCAACATAAAATTCATTGCATTTCTTATGGTCTATTTCATTCTGCATTTGTGTTTCAATTTTATGGAAAATGTAAATGAATTTCCTTCTTTTACGGCTTACAACTCGTAAATTACGTTCGATATTGAAACGAGTCGTTGAGCCTGCGACAGGGATCAGGACCCACAGATGTCAATGACTGTATCTGTTGGGATATCCTGTTGATTTTTAAAGGCTATTTTATTGATTTACTCACAATTTGAACTTCTCGTTCCACTTGGGTGTCAGGGTGTGGGGCTTGATGCTGGTCGCCTTGATGAGTTTGGCCGGTACCGGTCCGCCCAGTGAGTCGCGCTGCTCCCGCCGTCCCGCCTCCCGCCGCTTGAAGCTCAGCCGGAAGCTGTGCTTCCGGTGCGGCGGCGAGTCCGTGGCGCTATTATCAAAGCCGCCGCTCATGTCCGCCGAGAGGGCACGCGGCGTCGGCGGCAGCGGCAGCGGTGACACAGGCGGACCACCGTTTTCGTCCGGCTGGATGCCCAGCATGCAGTAAGGATCCGAGAAACCTGCAAGGGCAATAAATAATTGAGTGAGGATGTTGGTAAGTTGGGATCATGGGGTGGGCTATCGGGAAGTACAGAGAAAAAATATTACAAAAATGGTCAGGAGTTTAATTATATTGAAATTCGAGACCTTTATTTTTAAGCCGTGTTTTTGTTGTTGTTTTTTAATGTTTTCATAGGCATATATCTTTATATAAAAAACTTTTATAATTTTCCATTTAATTGATGACTTAATAAATACAATGATAAATCAATTAATGAGCCACAATGAAATATTGAAACTGATATTATGTTTTTATCTCTGTGAAAACCAAGACAGAAAGCCGGGATAAGAGCAAGAAAAAGGGTGACCGAACAAGGAGCAGTGAGAAATGGTGGGGCATTAATGAAGAGCTCGACTGATGACATTAAATGCCAATTAATGGCACTGCCCGCGGGGACAACGTGGCGTCAGCTGGTCCCAGTCACACATTGCGTATGATTAACATTTCATTTGCATAAAGTGCCGCTCAATTATTGAGTGCCTGTGATTTACGCGCACAGCAATGAGCTCACAGAGACATCGCAGCCACAGCCACAGATGCCCGTTGCCAAGATTAAGATTTTTGCACAAAGACCACCCCCCCACATAATTGAAACAATTACGCTGCCTTGGGGACAATTTCTGTTATTGGTATTATTTCAGGGCGATTAATTTAATTGAGTTCAAAATGCCAAAGCAAATAAGGAAGGTCATATCCGATTGCCAATTCTGATTATGTACTAAAACCAAATATATTTCTTCCGATATGGTTTTACGTTCTGCTTGAGTATTTCGCCGGTAAATCGATTACGCCACAAAAATGATTCATTTGAAATTCGGACCCGTACATTGAAGCACTCATTGTAATGGCCAATTTGATTGTTGCCCTTCATGCTTGACCAGTCTGCAAGGAATCACTGGCTGCTAATGAAAATCGAACCGTAGTGAACCTGCTTCTCCGCTTTCGCAGCTTATTTGCCAATCCGAGACTGGTTGGCTGGCCCAAACAAAAGCATCCCGCTCTCATCGGCCACGTTTCATTGGCAACGAGTTGTTTGCCATCTGCCCAGGGCCTCGACAACACATATACTCGTACACCCTCATTTACCCACTGGATGGCTGCCTCATTCTGGCCTATTTGGTGTTGCCTCCAGACGGTAGCCGTCGTCAGTACATTTAGCAGATGGCAGACAATGGCACACTAACACTGCACCACTACTTGGGGGAATGGAGATGGAGAAGTGGGATCCCGGGCATTCGGGCGGTAGAAAAATGCTCTAACAGAAGCAGACGCAGACGAAGGAGCACTCAACGTATTCCTTACACATCCTTGAGCACATTAAAATGCGAAATTGCGTTGCCTTCGATGAGGCTGCTGCTGTTTCTTCTGCACGGAGAGAAACTCTAAAGTTGTTTATGGAAAAGTGAAATCTTTTAAGCTCCAAATAGTTTGTAATTGGAGAAGGTCAGGCCAGATTTTATATTTCAAAGACCTTTATGAGTGTTAGGTCTATTTCTCCCAGTGTATTCCTATTTCTGGTCGTGGGGCTTCTGGCTCTTGAGCATAATGAACAAAATGGGAAGCATTAAATTGCAAATTTATTGAACGCACACCAACCCGGACGGGGCCAGAGGATGGGGCATAACCAAAACTGTAACTTTGACTTGTTCGGCAGAGTAGGAGGAGAGGACAACAAAAATGCTTAGAAAATATAGGATAATTGGGGGGAAATAGTCAACGCACATGGTGCTCGTTTGGCTTTTTGATTTGCCCAAGTGCACACACGCACCGCCACATAGCTTCATAATGCAATTACCGCAGTTGCCGCAAAATCAATTTACAAACTAAAAATATTTACACACGATACATGGATAGACAGATTGAAACATTGTCTAAAGGTGTGGGGATGGTGCTTGTGTTAGTGAGTAAAATGTATCGGGGAAAGTGTGGGATAAAGTGGTCGATTGTGTGGAAAGCTAAAGCAACTGGCTTACCATTGGCATCCTTCGCCTCGAGGCCATCAGCCTCGATTACCACCGCAGAGAGTACGATTATCTTTGGTTTATCCTCAGCGGAGGCGTGCAGCAGGCGATAATGACGATCCGGATTGACACCGAAGGCGCGCTGTGCGTGCAGATACATTTCGTCCTTGTAATGTGCAAACTGTGTTCAGAGATTTTCAATGAAAGACGCATGTGAGCCAAATTAAGTATACGCCGCATGTTGTCATGATCCAATATATATATATATATAAAGATTTTCAATTTAATTTAATTATATTGTCATTTAATTGCAAATATTTGGCAAGTCAACAAAATTATAATATCATTTTTCGTGGAAAAATTTTCATATTTCGCCTTCGCCCGATATCTCGTTTATTGGCCACCCAACCTCTCATCAAACAAAATCCATTTTCTTTTCATTTTCGCACTCTCTTTTCCTCTCTCATCTCTATTGATTTATATCCCTTGAATTTATTAGCTTTCCGACGCTTGATTTGAATCACGCTTCGGAAAACGCTTTCATCACATTCCCCAACTACCGCGTTGTTATTATTAATTTGATTGCTTTCGCTGCAGTCGAAATTATGAATAAACTTGCTAGCCATTAAGTCTACTTGAAAGAATATGCACTCTGTGTATTATATTTGGAATGTAATTACATTTATTTTATTTTAATCCTCTTTCCGATTGGGTCTCGGAATGAATAATGAGCACGGGCTGAAGATGCGAGACAAGATTGATTTGGGTTTATTTGCCAGTATAGGGAATTTTAAATTAGGAACATAAAATATTCCATCTCATGTGTGCTTAGGGTAAGGATACTGTTGGGATTAACTACATTCAAGAACGATCTCTCAGCTTATGTTTATCCTCATTAAGGGAAAAATTAAAACAAAAAGGACTCCCTTATTAACGCGCATTTAGTTCTACGGCGAATAATTCTTTATAATTGAAAATAATCTCAGTTTCACTTGAGGGCAGCTAAACTCAGTTTGTTTATCTTTTTAATGAACACCACTTGGCCAGATTATACCTAAGTAACCTTCAACAGCCAGCATCTGTTCGTGCAACTTTCTTGCATTCCATTTCGTTATTACTTTTATTTTATTTTTTCGCTTTTCATTAATTTCCATTAGGGCAGGTTTAACCCTCTGATGGCGCTGGCCGAGCAAATCGCATTTATTTGTAATTATTTACCATTAAATGCAGAAAAAAAAAACCAGGACTCGAGCTGAGGGACGCCCGCAGAGACGGGCAGGCAATAACTTTACTGACTTGGCTAACTCATTCCATCGTCTAAAATCCTTCGTCCTTCGTGTCCCTTTTCGCATTTCTCGATCCGCTTTGCGGGGACCCGCGAGATTTGACCGGTTCCAACTCAATCACAGCAGGAGTACGAACGTATTTTCCGCTACTAGTTGAAACTTTTGTTATGCTGGCGTAACCTTGCCACCCACTGGCCCCCATCTGCCACTCGACTCCATATTTTCCACCTCCACTTTGGGGAGCTGCTCAAGTTTCATTAGTTGTGCACTGGGCGTCTAACGATTTTCTTACTGCTAAATTAAAAACGATAATTGAAAAATGAACTCGTGTTAAGCTTGGCTCCGGCCATCGCAGAAATATTGGAAAATTCCTTTTGAAATGGCAATCAGCAGTGAAGAGGAAAAGTAGCACATTTTTAATTGAATTTCTGCCCTCAACATAGACTTTTAAGCTCGGAAATGAAATGAAGTTACCTCCTGCCTCTTGATTTCTTCTGCCACAAATTTTGCCAGTCCCCAAATCTCTAAAATCCCCAAAATATGTTTTCTTGCCTTGGGCAACCCGAGCATTAATCATTCAAATTGCAAAACGTCTCAAAGCCTAATGTCGGCGATTAAGCCTTTCAATCATGTGGTGTCCCCCCCCTAAGGCAAAAATGTTTTCGGTATCCCTTAAATCGCCTTAATTTGTGTAATTTGCAACTATTTGCATAACCTAGCCCCCTCCTAACCCCCATACCGACCATTAACCACCGACTGTCCCAAAATCATAATTTTATTCCAACGAGCCAAACTATCCCTGGATATTGATTTACCTGTCCACCTGGTGCCGGGGCGCCCACCGTATTGGCAATGGTGTGCAAGACCTCTGAGTACAGTTTCTCCTTCTCATCCTGGCGGTCAATGGACTCCTCGCTCGCCGGCGGATCACGTTCATTCTCGGGATTAGCCTCGGCACGTGCTTCGGCGGCACGCGTGGCCGACATGCGACGATTTTCACGTTTCCAGCCCAGCGATGTAAAGTTCTCAAAGTACGAGCCGTCCGTTTCCTGAACTCTGTGAACGTTAAAAAAAAGTTTAGGATTGGGGTTATAAAATACCGTTATACGTATGTAGATGTATGTATGTGAGTTTTTTTTATGGGCTCTCGATATCAAAGGATATTCAAATCGACTGCTGGCGCTGTCAGTTCGGTGTCTGACTTTAATTGGCACTGTCAATATGCCGTTGCCAACATACAAATGCGACATTGTCGTACCTATTTCAACATTGATAAGGGTCGTCGCCTGTTGCCGGGTACCACTCGGCGTATGCTTGATGGGCCCAAAAGCGAAGGCTTACCCTGAGCCGCTAATTGTATACAAATATTCAACCTTTTGCACACACAGAACAGAAAACAGATATTTGTGAGCCCTAAATCTTAATTAAATGAGATTTTTTATTGAATTTATTTTATTTTTAAAGGTTTTAACATGTTAAATACCTTTGAGTAGTTTTGGAACTTTAAAAATATTTATATAAAATAATGATTTTTCCCAGTGCATACAGAATTGAAACTTTCTCTACTTTGGGTCCTAACTAGGGCTAGTCACGATAGTTGATGCTCTTACTAATCATTTGATTTGCATGCTCCTCTCCCTCTTACCAAAGCCCACCGGATTTATCCGAGCAGCTGTGGCCAAAAAAATATAAAAAAAAAGTTGCTCAAAACTTTGTCCACTCAGCAGGGGAAACAGCTAAGCGGCTTAACTTTGTCGCCGGCGTTGATGATTTTTTACGTTTACGTTTATGGCAAAAAATAAACTGAAGAGGCCCCGAAAGTAGGCAACACTTTCTGTCGGCACTTTTTCCGTCAACCCCTAAAATGTAGGCAACACCTCTGGGTGTTAGAACACATACATCTAGATAAATATATATTTAAGTTGTGTGTGCCTGTGTGTGTTTGTAGGGCAGGAGGCGGTAGGCGTGGTCGTGTGAAAATGGTCAACATAATTGCCGTAAATGATAGGGTAGAAGTAGGGTAGACTATAACTGCATTGTCTGAAGTTCTCCCTCTCTAAAGTTGTTTGTAAAAAATTTCATTTTAAACTTTTTGCCCAGCTGTTTGTGTTGCTTTTATATTTTTCTTCTTGTTGCCTTGCTTTGTGATTTCATCGCTACCAGAGACACTCAATTTCGGTTTCAATTTTTAAGATTTTTCACAGTTTTCTTCTGTCGTTTTTTTCACATTTTTTTTTTTGCGGCTCAAGGAAAAGTTCTTGCTGAACTTTTTTTTATATTTCTTTGGTATTTATTTTGTCGCAAATATTTATTTTGTATTTAACTTTAAGGTAAACAATTTTCGGTTGCAAAAGTTTTCTATTCCAAGGCGCACTCAAGACTTCGTGGAGTATAATTAATATTGGTTTTTATTTGTGCGAATATAAACGAGTTTTAAATAATTAAAAAGCATTAACATAATGTTGAGTGTTCATATGAAATATAAATTAATCTGCCCCTTGACACTGCGCTGGCAATTTATTTTCGTTTTGCTAAAATTTAATGGCTGTGGTGACAAACCAATTTTGTGGCAATTAGTAGTTAATGCATAAAATATGACATTTCGCCCATCAATTGCATTTTAATAAGCTCCACTTTCGGTTTGACTTCGAAATGGCAGAAAATGTTGTTGTTTTTTTTTATTAAACGATTAGCAATTAAATTCAAATAGTTCCAGGAGGTACAAATTTGTGATGAAATTAATTTCTATTGGTCAATATGTGTTCATTAGCATTGAAGGGCTTTGGGTGGTAAGTTTTCAAAATGTGCGAAATTAATTTCAGCCTCGAACAACTTTACTACACTCAAGCAGACTAATTATGGCGGAAAAACAAGCCACGTTAATGGAAGTACAAACTTGCAAAGAGCCCTCTTCGGGACGCATTTCACACTTTCGGCTCATCAAAACCTCATATTTCTTTAAGCAATCTCCAAAGTAAACCTCATTTTCGGGCTTAATTAAATGTAACCTGTGATCCGAAGTCGCGTCGGGCGCACATCTCCAGGTTAAGCAGATGCCGCATTATGCAAAGTGGCGGCGGCAAGGCTGGCTTTTGAGTTACAAAGATGAAGTTGCAGAGGCTGGAGGATGTTGCAGCTGGCTGCCAGATTCTTGGCCACACTAAGAGCAATCTCGTCTCTGAAGAACCTAAAAAGGTGGCTTTAAAACCAAGAACAAGACTCCCCTCTATGCGATGCGGTGTGTGTTTTCAGGTTATTCCCAAAAAAAAAAAAAAACTTTTCGACACTCAAAGGTTTTGCCCGCATCCCAAGTTGCCATGGCCCTGTCGCAATGGGTGGGGCGGTAAAGTTTCTTTCGAAATTTGGTAGCCGAACTAACAGAGAGAACTTTTGTAATTACGTAATTATGAAGGTCGAGCGGTAAAGTTTCGTTTGGCAATTCGGCAAACAAATCGAAAAACACAACTGAAATTGAAGTACATTAATTAATTAGTATATAAATTATTTTAGATATTCTCCCTTATCGTGACTTAAAGGCCCGCCCGCTTATTTTACGTCCCAAAACCTACCCTAAAAACGAAGCTCATTATGGCAGTGTGTTTAATTTATGCATTTCACATTCGAATACCTCTGTCTGCACGCGCGTGTGTGTGTGGGCGTGTAAATATCTGGCAGCCAAGTTTGGGCAAAATATTAGCATTTCCATCTGTGGGTTAATTACCTCGAGCAAACATGCGGAGGTCTCCCATACCCATACCTATCCTCATTCCCATCCTCGCCAGACAGGCATTTAATTTGCCAAATCCACTTCGCAGTTCATCAACTATGCATTAGGAGCGCCGGACTTTAACTTGGATTCAAACTTACCCGGAATTGGAGCGCGGATCTACTTCGGGCCAACTCAGACGGCGTTTGCAAAAGGCCAGCGGCGGGCGAGGCGGTGGATCCGGCTGGTGCAGCGGCGAGTTGCGCTGCCGGAAAGATCCGGTACGGGGTGGGGCCAAGCATTCCAATGCCCGTGACTGGCGACGCGATTGGGGTGTTCCGCCAGGCCCACCGCCCCCGGATGTCGAGGGACTACCGGGTCCGGCCGCACCACCTGGTATTTTCGGATAACCTTTTGTTTTAGGGAAAAAGGAGGGGTAAAAGCATAAGCATAATTATAGGACTTAATTTTAAGCTGTTGAACAAAAGTTTATGTGTTTATTTATTTTCAATTAACATAAACAAAGCTATTATTAAGCTTTTAATGAATTTTAAGTTTAATCTGCTTATTGAATTTTGTGCAAAATTATAGTTTGATTGATATTTAAAATCAATAAACCAAAACGAGAACTAAAAAATAACTTAACTTAGTTAGTTTTACCAAAAAGTTTCTTAACAAAAGAATATTGAACTGCTGAAAGTTCGAGAGAAAGTAGATTCTTAGAAACTATTTGCCAAATCTCATAATTCCCACAACATTCAAATATCTGTGGACTACAGGTAGCTGATGGCCCTCACGAAAGTCAGGTGGGAAACGAGCCCAGTCAAAGTCGTGTGTGGTGCCGTGTGGTTCCGTGTGGTGCAGTGGTCCATGCTCAAGGCAACGGCAACGGCAACGGCAATGCAACCGCAGCCCGCAACCTTGACATGCATTTATGTGGGTCCTGCGGCTCCTGCATCTGGTCCTGTTGCCACTCCTGGCTTCCAAGGACTACAACTAGCAGGCACAGAAGCCTTACACACATAGAGAGTGTGGGGTTTCGGATGGAAATAGCTAACCATTACTGTGGCTTCCAAAAGAAAGCTTTTTTTGGCAAAGGAGAAGCCAGTACTGAATGCAGGCTAAAAAAAATAAAAAAAAGAAAACGAATATGCAGAGAAATTTTTCGGTTTAGCTTGAAAAGTGTGCACAAAGCGTGAAGTCAAAGTTGGACTGCACTGGACTCGAATTGGGAAAAGCGCTTACACGTTGATGGCTTTTCGGGGAAAGAATTCCCCGTTGGCAGCTGTTGGCCAGAAAAACCGCTCGTTCGTCGCTCGTGCAACAAGATAAGCCAATTTCAATTTTGATTCAAATTCCGCACAAGTCGGTGAATCAAAATCCCAGCCAAATGCCAAGTCAATGTCGTTAACGATGGCGACGGCGATGGCTATGGCCAAGACGATGGCTACGGCGGAAAGCTGGAAAGTTAAGTTCAGGATCCGGCGGTTTGTGGCCAGGATACGCTGCTGTTCCTGCTGCTGCTACTGCTTTTGTTGCTGCTGCGTCTTGACATTTAAATGTGTTTGCATTTGCCAACTACGACAGAAACAACAACCTCGAACATCGTTTAGCTTGGCAAACAAGTTTTGCATAGCCAAACGGAGCCAAAGCGGAAACGAAGCCGCACAAGAAGTCACATATGCATGTTGATTGCTTTCGCTCTGACAGAGATGCTGCACTGATAAAAACAAAGAGGCAAATATATTTAAAATACTTGACACCTCTCTTTTATTTATCCTTTTAACCAAGAATGAATTCGATCGAGAAATGCTTAACAAATCAATGATCTTATCTTAGCTTAAGTGCGGTTGATTGTTTATCGGAATTATATCGATACTTAAGGTGACCGTACTGTCAGCCTACTACATACATACAGGACAAGAAAGAATAACAAAAAATAAACAAAGATTGTTTTCACAGACTTTTCGTTTCATTCTCCAAATGTTTACTTTTTTAAAGCTTTTTCTTTCCATTAAGAATATTTAAGGGTGATTTCATATATATGGCATATTGTATAATATTTTTAAATATTTAAAAACTCTTTCACAATATTTACTCTTTGTGTAAGAACCACTATCATCCCGCAGAACCAACTGGCACCCCATTGCGGTGGTTTTGTCTGCACATTTCTTGATCCATATGCGAGAGGCGTTGCCCCAAAGAACATTCGGCGATTGCTAAACTTTGGGCGCATTTGGTGGCTGGGAAGACATGTAATGTAATTTTCATATTGGGACCCGATGACGATAACGTCTGCTGGATTCAATAAACTTTTCCATGTTTACCATCTCTGTGGCATGCATACGCAAACAAATTGTTTTCTTTTCGGGCCAAGTTATGGCAGCTGATGGATGGAAAGTGAAAGTCAAGTCTCTTAAGCCAACTTAAAGGTGAGTCGTACTTTTTTTTTGTATGCATATCTTTCCATGTTTGTGCTGAATATGTCCCGAGGGTAAATACCACATCGAAAACTCCATTAGCAACTTAATTAGGGGCAAGGCTGTTTTTGGATTCCAGCCAACCCATTCTCTCTATACTCGTATTTACGAGGACGTGACCTTTGGCAAAGCGTTTATCAAGCTTAGGCTTTTACAGGTCGAAAAAAAAGTTTCTTTAGCTAGAACTTTCTATAGGTAGAATGTTAAGGCAAGTCAAATAAAGAAAATATTATAAAGATTTGTATATTATACAAATTTAAGCATTCAAGCCACTTTAAAGTAGTATTAAGCCTTAGTTTAGCTTACTTAATTTTCCTTAGTGTCTGTATGAATCAACAAAAAACTAAAACCGTAATAGAACTTACCCAGTAATGGATTGGTGGCATTTGGATTCCCGATTACAACGCCGCCGGAAGGGTAATTACTGCCGCCCGACGACGCTGCCACTACCCCAGTGGGCGGAGCAGGTGTTCCATATACGCCTAGGCCGCTGCCAATGCTCGCCTGTTGCTGCAATGGGGCGTGGCCATGTTGTTGCTGCTGCTGCTGTTGTTGTTGTTGTTGCTGCAACAGTAACTGTTGCTGTTGTTGTTGCGGAAGTGACTGCTGCTGCTGCAATTGCTGATGCGGAAACTGCGACTGCTGCTGTTGTTGTCCGGAAACGAGGCCGCCAGGTGTGGCGCCTCCGATGCCCGATTGCTGTTCACTCGATTCCTGACGGGAAAGCGAGAAGCGACGGTTGCCAAGGCCCAAACTGGAGATGCCACTTGTTACATATTGCTGCATGGAGCTGAGGAAACTCATGGCGGCATCTGGCTTTCTTATCTGGCTGCCGTAATTGGCTCAAGTTGTTTCCTCGTCTTTTTGTTTTTTGTGAAATTAATCACTTGGAAAACTTGCGCCCGAGATTTGCCTACCCAATTCGTTATGTTTTCCACCAACGATTATAAATTGGTCCAGACTCTAGCCGCGTTTCTTATCAAGGCTCTGCAAGGATAAAGAACAAACGAAGGTGAAACTTCGGTGGAGAATTGTTTTCAGCTATTTTTGGCAATAATTGAATTTCGGTCAGGTCTTAAGCCAACGATTTGTGTCTGTGTGTGTGTGTATATAAATATTTCCTTGTTCAGATTAAAAGCAATTACAAAACACAAAAGCCAAAAACGAAAAGCTCTTCATTTGCCTTTTTGACATAGCATACTTTGCAGCGCCGGAATTTAATCGAAGCCAACACACAAAAAATTAATTAAGCCAACTTGTTTGGCACTTTTATAGTCACTGCATTCTAGAACTCTGATTCCCCCTCAACTTCTTCGATTTCCCGCCGGCATTATATTTGTCTTTGATTCGTTTTGTCAGCAGTTTTGTTGACTTACCGCCACCCATTCGCCTGTTTGCCCAACCAAATTCTGTACAAATATCGAGGGGAAAAAAGCGATTGCATTTAGGCATTGGCATAGACTGTAGACAACATCGATTGATTGGAGAGTCGTTGTGCTCACTTCAAGGCTTGGCTCTTAATTAAATTTCTTTTGAAGTACGCCCCGAGACCGCTGTCCTAATTAACGTTTAATCAGCTGAGCCTAATGAGCCATTTTTGGATTCATGGCTAATCGATCTGCATGAATAATTATAGGAAATACGAATACACACATATATATCCTAGGCACCTGTCTGAATTGTCCTGGGTTATAATTTGGCAACCATGCAGGTCTATGGCCCAAAATACTAATAATAATAATTATACGACCAAAAATAAACGCTGGACCAAGCAGAAAAGTAGTTAATTAATTAGTTTGCCAGGTTTTGGGCTCTCATTTATGGATGAGCAAATCGGCTGGCGAAAATGAAATTGCAAATTGAACAGCAGTTTTTGGTCCTGCTTTCCCTGGCCATTCAAACGTGACCGGCTTAGCTGTCCGTCTTTTCGTTCGCTGAAATCACCATGAAAATGGAGCCGGATAAAGACCTTTATCCATTTCGATTTGGCCAACAAGATTAAAGCTCTGGCTGTAGAGGGAAACTAAGAAAATTAAAGGATTTAATTATTGGTAAATAAAGTTTTGAAGACATTATTTATATTCCTTTATAAGGGCTACTATATAAATAAATATACCCATTAATCATCCAACATTTCGATTTCTTTTTCGATAACGACATTACAAGGTTTTACCAAGATCAATAACACTTTACTGACATTAAGCTGGCCCAAAACCAAATACTCGACAGTTGTCAACCTGTTTACTGTTGCCATAAGAATAAAACTGATTAAATTCCCAACATTATCGTAGCTGGTAACACGCAGGATAGTGTAGTTAAGCACTCTCGGGGACAATGAAGGGTATTATGTGCTGTGCTGAGTGGCTTTAAATGCCATAAAGGCAATGCGGGGCCAGGACATGGCCTTAAATGGCCAGCAGTCATAGCAACTGGAACTATAGTTGGCAAACAATTCGCATCTAGCAAAAACAATGGCCAAAATGGCAATGATTCCGATGTGTAAGCTAGTGCGTCCGTGGGCGTAATCAGCGCATTCATGCATGGTGGTTGCTTCCCCATTCTTTCCCTTCCCCTCCCCTTGGATTTGGCATGTTATCCTGTTTACTGGTGCCATAATTAGCGGACTCCGAAAATAATTTGCAAACCGTTTTTCTGTTATCCGGTTGTATGTTTGTGCGGTCCGATTTATTTGGATTTTTGTTTTGTGTTTTTCGAAAACGCTAAATATAAATCAAGCAACGACGCACACAAAAGTTGATTTATATGGTGCACGTAAATTTGCCATTAAGCGACAGACAAATGTATTGCAATTAAATGAAATGGAAGCCGAGCCACAAACAGCAACAGCTGCCCACAGCTACCACCTAGATACATATACACATGACTGTATATGGGTGTTTGTGTATGGAAAGGGGGCATAAATACGCAGCCAACTTAGACTTTAATTAAGATTAATTAGTCACTGGCCAAGCCAGGCAGCGGGAAGTAGCATGTGTGAGGGTTAAATGCACGGAAAGTTTAGAAGGAAAATTCTTGATTTAAGTTCTCTTTTTCTTTGCACTACGAAAATGATTTATTTTCCTAAAATTATAATCTTAATATTCAAGAAAAACTGATCATAGTTGATATCTCAAGCACTTTCCTGACTAAAAATTCCTATTTTCTGCAATTTTTTGTAAAAAGATTACTGAAATGTAAGAAGAAGTTGATAGAAAACCTCTTAATTCGCCTTAATTCATAATTTTTAATATATTTACTTTCTCAGTGCACTAATGTAAGCCATAAAAGAAGGCCACAAGCCATTTCCCGCTCGCTGTTGCTTCAATCTATTTAGTTTTTATTAATGATTGCGCATACGACATGTGGCCCAATGAGCAGGGTGCTTACGCGTGGGTGTGTGTGTGTTGTGACGACAGCAACCCTTGTTCGAAAAGTTTTTCCCAACTCAGTTGGGGGAAAAAAAACTAAATTAAATGTGAATTGCACTAATGTGACTTCCCGAAATATTCCGAAGAGCTGTCACAACATCGCGCTCTCCATCACAACTCGTAGTAATTATCGTTTTTTGTGGCTCACAATGAACTGAGACAAGGGTCGTCTAGCTGACTGGCTGACTGTGCCACATTCGAGTCAATTTTAGACACATTTCTGTGAGCTGATTCGGTTGCCAGGCATAATTTAAAAGCATTTCATATGCCCAACCCACCTGAGCAAACAATTCTGCGGCAGGAAGTTGCACACAAAAAAGTTGCCAAAATTCATAAAAGAAGGAGGGTAAATTGAAATTCCAAATCTTAATCATTTTCCAAGAAGAATTTGCAATACGCTAACCGCAGTGTTAAAGTTTGTAAGTCCACAAAAAAACAAAAAAGAATCTAAATAAATCCCTAATAAACGGTTTCTTGGATCGGATTTATGCCTTTGGTTTATAAATATAAATCAAGGGTGTTTTAAATTTTAATGTTTTCTTTTTCATATACCTCATATAGCGCGAAAAATATCACAAAGCCACAGTTAAAAATAAGCTTTGCCCAAAAAAAAATCCCCCAAAGGGAAGGAATTCGCGCAGCCAAAAAAAAAGCAATTGTAAGGCAATTTCAAAGGCAAAATTATTATGTCGCTTTATGTCATTTTTTTTTCTCAAGGCAAAGCCAAGTTTTTTCTTGGCAACTGGCAGATGAATGTGTTGCGCATATCCCCCCAAAAAGAAACAGAGGAAGCGGGGGTGGATTCAGGATGTTTTTGAGGTGGAAATGGGGATTTTAGGGTGCACGGTGGTACGTGAAAATGACAAAGCAGCTGCTCAACAACAAATGGCAACGCATGCTCTGGCATAAAATTTATTTTCACTCCTGGCCCGACATGATATGTGGCTTTAAATATCTGCCAAAAAAAAAGAACTCTGAGAAATGAAAGGAAAGCCAGTAAAAAAGCAGAGAAAGAACTCGTTTACATTGCGGCAAATATTCCAGATTCGACAACTCTCATGGCAAAAATGTCGGGTTGCGGGCCTTAAACAAATGTGCGGCATTCAAATGTCTTCTTTAGTTCTGTGCTGTGTGTTGTGTGTGGGCGTGGCAAAACATAAATTACTTTACGCACGGGCTGGCAGCCAAATTCAGTGAGCGAAACGGCCTTAACAATGTAGCAATTGTGACCAAATATAATTTAATTGCCACCAGCAACTGTGGCAACCAGTCAGGTTAATAACAACCAATAATGGTAATATTCATGGCCATGGCAGCAGCAACAATTGCCAGTAACTACCACAGTTTGGTACAGAATTGCCCTTACAACGTGCTTTTTAAGAAGAGAAAGACAAATAAGAAGTTCCCTTTTCCTTTCCCAAAGATCGTTTTTAATGAGCTGTCTAGATGGAGATTGCTTTGGAAACACTTTTGTTAAGCAAGTTCTTTTAAGAATGAGTTTACTGTACCTAAGAATGCCGCCCTCTCATGGCATTACAATAAATCAAAGTCTCCTTAGCATAATGTAAGAAAGATCAAAGTTTGTAGTCACTTTTGATGATTTTCCAGCTCTTTACCTTTGTAATTTCAAACTAATTTGTCTCTTGGGATTTTCTGAGAGGTGCAAAAACCTATGTGCCTTTGCCAAGGGTATTGTCAGTAATGCAGCCATAGAGACTGAAAGCTGATGCGATGAGCATGAATTGCGTTAAACATGATGTGAAAAAAATGCATCAACCACAAAAAAAAAAAAAATACAGGATAGAGAATGGGTTCTTATGTCCGCCCACAGGGATTTCTCGGTTTTCTGCTTCATCAGTATTGGCGTCATCATCATCATCACCATAAATCACAAAAGTGCAGCATGTGCAACGCTTTCCATCGCCGTTCTTTGTTTGCTTTGGCAATTTGTAGTCAGCATGTTGCCTGGGCCGAAAAGCAAGGACTCCCCAGCTCTATTTCTCTGTCAAATGCAATAAACCATAGATCCTTTTGTGTGTTTGCCACTACAAGATGCCGGACGAACAACAACAGACAGAGAGACGCACAGACAGCATGGCTACCCAGGACAATGGGTGAAGGGGCCATGAGTAATGGAACCCCAACATGCAAAAGTGCCGAACTGAAGGCCCCAAAGAGAAGGAGTTGCCTTTTGATAAATGCGCCCAAGAAGGGTCACCTGCCTTGTGCAGCTGTCTGGTAAATTGCTTAATTTGTTAAAGCACAAACACAAACTCACTTACAAACACACACACACACATATAATATATACGCACTCCTTGGTACAACGGGGCGTATGGGCAATTTACGCCAAATGCAACAGAAATTCAATTAACTTGCTGGATTTGTGGCTATTAATTACAAGGGGCTTCCGTCAAAAATGTTGCACTTATGGCGTTTACTTGAAATCCGCATTGATTAAGTTCCCAGCTGGGTTACCATGTCATGAGAAAATCCTTTGGGGAATCCTTCTTCTAATTAGCCAGCCAAGGAGAAAATCTACATAGGGCTTCTCAAACTCAAGAGACTTGAGCAGACTTTGCTGAAAGTTAAATGCAAGGTGCTTTAGTATGCCACCTAGGGAGATATCTAATTAAATACTGACTAGCATTCCTTCCAATCAAAATTTCCATATGAAAGGGTGAGTTTTACCACTGCTGATCCATCGTTTCCTCTCTCTCGCTCTCTGGGGTCCATAGAATGCCAATTAAAACTATCAAATTACGTATACGCCTAGCGAGGCGTAACCAGGCTGGCTAATTAGACGCAGGTCTTGAATAACTCTCAAATAAGCCATCTCTCGAATTACACTAAGGAAAGAGAGAAGTATGTAAAACGGATTCTTGATGTCTGAAATAAGGGAGCCTTAACAAATGTTAAATCTTCTTTTCATAAAACAAAAAATCAATAAAATTGAACATCTGAAAACGAATTCGAATCATTTTTACAGTAACCCTTCATAGTTTAAATGAAATATCAAATTTCTTTCTCTGTCCCCACACCCACAGGGGACACTGGATCCGTCGTTGATGAACTATATTTGCGGTGGCGCAAAAATGTTTTCGGCAATGAGGAATGTCGCACAGGAAATTGGAGGCGCGTCGCACACATACGCATGCATAATTAATGTGCTTTGTGTGAGGCGGATGTGTATGTCCCATTTCGCCTAATTGTGAAGCGTGGCCAAACCACCAAGTGGGTGATATCTACACACACACAGACAGAGGCCGAGTCAACGTTTAATTGTCGCCTTTGACATTGCAACAATTTGAAAGTGGCTGCCGCTTGAACACCCCTGCCACACAGCCCTTGGCCGCTTTAATTACAAATTCCAAGCATGCCTGGCCCATTCAAAATCGATGGCCAAATTACGCCCGTTCTTGGTACTTGTTCTTGGCCAAAAACTAACTACAAACTTTCGATAAACTCTTTATGCTGTTAATTAATGCATGGATTGGCTTTGATTTTGCTTTTCTTTTGCCAGAAAGTACTCTCTTTCTTCTCTCATTTGTCAACTTTAGAACTCGTTTCTAGCAATTTGATCTAAATTGTATTCCAAAATAATTGGTCTTAAAGGTTTAATGCCTTCCATGCCTTTGAGTCTACCAACCTCTTTGAGCCATGTTCGCTGAACTTGAAAGTCACCTTGCCTTGCCGTCGTTTGATGCGTTTTTTGACGCCAATCAAAGCCACGGGGAGTGCTAATGGTTTGGATGGCAGGAGAGAAGGCACCCTATACCATTATGCGTATGTGTGTGCAAGTCTAGGGGCGCTTTGTTTGGCTTTGACATGTCAAACAGCAAACAACAAAAGCGGGAGGGCAAACGAAGATGTTGCAGCAGCTTCCACAGCTCAACATTGTTGCAAATTACAAGTAAATCCAAAACGGCTCAATGCACAACATCTTCTTGGGTTTGGGGGGGAGGTGGAGAGGAGAGGAGGATGACAGACTGAGGGAAAGATGGGTTATGGCTCTGCCAGACGTTCAATGTTTCCAACTCGTTGGCTTGGCTTTAAGTTCATTTTTACTGGGTTAGCAAAAGAACCATCATAAAAATTGTTTTTCAGCTTCTGTTCTGTTCTGTTCTGTATTTTTTTCTCCATTGGCCTTTATGCCGAGCGGGGTTTATTGTTTGCTTTCATTGCGCTTTGTATTACCCCTCCTGGCATTGGCAACCCCTTCCCTGCCTACCCTTCCCCTTTCACAAAGTCTGCAATTAAGGGCGCCGCAGCTTATTTACGGACTCGGGCGACGAACGTGGCGTATGCGCAATGCACACGTTCTGTGAGCCAGCAATGAAAATGTATTTTTGTACTGCATATTCACGCTTTTGTTTGCTTAAATGCTCGGTAATTAAAACGTGTTGGGGCCAGTTGCTCTGCAGAAAGTACAGAGCGGAATTTTCGCAAACAGAGCGCAATTTTTGTTAAGGTCAGGTGGATTCTGCATTTCGGAAAATTCCAGCTTGCCTTAAACAGGGAACTGTTTTCAAACACAATGTTTGTTTTGTATTTCAGAGCAAGAAGCACTTTAAATTAGTTAGTTAGTTATAAGTTAAGTTATTAATGAATTTGAATAGTTTTTGATTGGTTTAAGGTTGTTGGTCTACAAACTTGACCATTGCCTGTGATTTTATGTAACGAAACTTTTTTAATGGAGTGAAAGGTAACATATTATGGGATCAAACCTTCTAAAAAACTTTGAACTATACTTAATAAATATAGTTTAAATTGATGAATCATTTAAGCTTCCCAGAACTAACCAAAAGAAGACAGTAATTCCCCTTCCTTTGTCATTTCTGCAACCAACCATTAGCCGATTGGCTGGGAAATTCCGCTTAAAACCAGGCTTGGTTCGCGCCCAAGTAATCTGCATTTCATTCAGTTCTTCTTTTTTTATGATTTATTTTTTCGTTAAGGACCCTTTTTTGTTGGTCGTCGGTTCTCATATACATTTTTCATTATCCTGTAGATTCCTGTATATATATATTGGCCATGTATTTTTATGTGACGAAATGCCTGATGGCATTCGGTTGCCACGACGATGTCAACAGAACGTTAAGCGGGATTAGGAACGCCGCTTTGCGCTTTTGTTTTTCGAATGTCGCCAACATCATCAACAAGGTGACATAAGAGCAGTGAACAAATAAATATAAAAAAGGAAGAAGGAAAAAGCACAAGACTGTGCCGCCCATTCCACAGACAGATTCGCACATCTTAACGTGGCCATATTTTGCATATGGCTTTAATGGCGGCTTAGCGGCGTAAAAATAGCAAAAGTCTCTAAAAACGTTGGGGCTGGAGAATGCTGAAGGATGCTGGAGGATGATGTTGAGTTTGGGTGGCGGCAACGAGGCCAAGACAAAGGAGAGATACTCGCAGAAAGTAGCTCTTGTACCGACAGCTTTGTTGTCTGGCTGCCACACGCTGCTCGAGGCTGCCAAAATGCGCTGGAAACTTTGGGTGGAAAGTTGCTGCTGAGCAGGCAGCGAGTGAAATGGGTTAAGAGGTGGGCAGGCAATTGCTACTGTCAGCTGAGCAAAGTTTTTAATTAAAATAACCGAGCAATAAAACAGCGCAACAACAAAGCTCAGGGAAAGGCGGGAAGGAGTGGTATAAGGAGCCATGTTAAATGGCAAATTACCAGCGACAATTTCTCCTGGTCACATGCATAACGTATACGCCATGAGGGCCCTGTACTGCGACGCAATTAAAATTTAACAGCACCCCGACGCAGCAATTCGTTTTCTATTTCTTATTTTTGTTTCTTCTTCTTCTTTTGTTGTTTCCACAATACGCTCTGTGAATATTTATTATGGCCAAAGGTCAATGCTATGGCCTTGAACCCTTTCCCTTTGACCTCGCTCAAAGGAGACCACTTGAAGGTCTACAAATTTGCCTGGTTTTCACGCTCGGTCAGACAATAGCTAAGCACCATGGGCTCATTAAAAAAACATAAATCAAACCGCATTCTCGGCCTGCAGTTAAAGGGTACTCCATTGCATAATGAAAAATTTTCCAAGTTTGAAAAAAAAAGAAATGTAAAAAAAGCAAAGAATTCAAAAGTAAATTGAAATTTCCCGACTAAACTTGGATTTGAGCGGAGTGCGGCTGGGAAAATACAAAATTCACAGCTTGTCAGGGGAAAGTACGAGAAGAAAAGGCAAACTGTGATGATGCGTTGGCGTGCGGCCCGCAGCTCTGCAGCAAGATTGATTGATGACATGACGTCAATTTGCCTGAGCCACTCAGTCTCAGCCGGAGTGGAGTCCCTGGAACTCACTCCATCTCCATCTCTGAGTATGCAAAAAAAAAAGGGCCAAGCTCGGCCAACCACTGGGGGCGTGACCAGAGACATGAGTCCGACAATGGCGATGACGATGAAAAGGCAATGAAAAAGGCATTAAAAGTGCGGTCAGAGCGGGGAACAAAAAAATATTATCATTCTGGGCGAGGGATGAGGGATGATGTGCCACACGGGGGCGTTCTTGTGGTGCATGTTATGGTCTGTTTGTGGGCGTGCCAGTTGGATATAATAATAAACACAACCCAAAAGCCCCTAGACCAAAACGACGCTAAGGTGTTGTTTTAATGACGCAGGTCGAAGGAGTAGAAGAAGGCAATAGGAAAATAGTTTAAAAATAGATCTTGGAAAAGTGATTGGAAGAATGAAATATTTTTAAAGAAAACGGGAACTTAATACTACTAAAACCCATATTAACATTAATCTTATAACTCCTACCATCTAATAACATAATTCCAGAGGACTTCCTCATTTTCCTGGCCATTCCCAGCAAACATTATAATAACGATAGCTTTGCTGTTTATTATCTGCCTAGGCTGGGCGTTATGCATGATTAATAAAGTCGTTATTGTTGTTTTGCCAGTTTTCGTCCCGGGTCTGCCATGAAAATTATGCTTAATTGGTGTCACTGTCACTGTCACCCGCATCCCAGGCATCCCCTTCCACACTCACACATCCCAGCAGGCAAGGACTTCCAATCTCCAGTGGACGAACATCGCACCCAAGCGGAGGCTACCTCAATTTAAAACAAAAACATTTAAGAGACGAACAGACAGAAATTCCTGCGGGTGTTTAATGAACATTTTCCAACAAACTCAGACACACACACACCTTGAAAATTATGCAAAAATAAATTAAAGTTTTATGTGGGCAGCCGAGAACTGCAGTGGTTCGGGTTTCTGTTCCCAGGACGACAAAAAAACTGAAAGGGACCAGGGAAAAGGACACATTAAATGAGAAATAAAAACGAGGGAAATAAAAATGAAATTTTAAACACATACCGCAGGCGCAAACAAGTCGATGGCAATAGAAATGGGGCAGCATCAGAGCAACAGTCTGCGTTGAAGTTGTCCTTGCTGGGCGAGACTCCTCGTCGTCGTCGTCGTCGTCGTCGTCGTCGTCTACTACATCATCAGCATCATCATGATGTTGGCATGCCGGGCACGTCCTCTAATGCTGCGACTGCAAAGATAAAAACCAAGATATAAAGCATAAAAATCGGCCCGGCAATTACTTCAAGTGATGGCTTTCTAATTTAGGGCTTAATTTGTGTGGATTTAAGGCGCGGCGCGAGGCGGCAACAAATATTTTTTTAAGCCAAGCCATCAGATACTGGCCTGGTATACAGGTAAGGAATTCGCAACACTTTATGGTCCAACCAGGCGAGACTGGCAGAGAATGGAAGGAGCGGGACAAAAATACCGTGATACCCTTGGGCACGTTACGTATACGCCCCCAATGACATGTACATAAATTTAATGCTAGAAATGGTCCGCTCGACACGGCTCGACCCTGTCTGTGAATCCGCTTTCGTGGGTGTTATTTTCGTCCTTTTTTCCCTGGCATCCAAGCCGAAACACACACACACACACACCGTCTCATTCGTCGGCGTAACATTTCCGCTTTTGGTTGCATGAGTATCCGTTTCAGTTTGCTGAGACCACGCACTTAGCCGGGTCCGCTATTCGTGCCCAAAAATAAACTAAATTAGAGTGCGCGACTTCCAGTCCAAGTCCGTTTTTTATCCCATTAATTGTGTTTGCCTGTTTTTAGATTGAGGGTGCTCCTTTAAGGGCTCCCAAAATCCATGTTTGATTGCCCTTCAGAGTGGGGATTGGCGAGATTGGAATTTGGATGATTCGATGATTGGCCGTTTGGCTATGGGCACGGGAATCCAATGCGGAATGCGGAATGCGGAGGAATTTCCAAACAATAAGGATTTATACATTTCCATTATGCTTTCAGCGTTTCACTTTAAAACAAAAGCAAAATTAAATAATATATTTCGAACGTCCGCTGGATTAATTCATTTCTATTGAAAGTTAAGTCTTGGCTTAAATGGAATGGAAATGGAATGAATTGAAAGCGAATGGGAAAGCAATGGGCAAATGGTTCTAGTAAATTAATCAAACAAAAGAGATTTTGTTTAATAAAAACCTTAAAGTTTTCTATTAAAACTAATTTCATGTTTAACTTAAAGTTAAAGCATAATTTTAATGAGAAAATTGTGTATTTTGGAACATTGCTTGCATTTTAATCAAATCTTAAAACACTTATTAACTTACTTAAGCATCAATAAATATAATTGAGTTAGCTTTACCCCAAAGGCAGTTTAAAATTTCATCAAAAATTCACCAAAAATCAAATCAAAGTCTTCTTAAAATCAAAATTTATTTGATTTTCCTTATTTTCTTTACCAAAATTCATGTATGCATGAGTCCATCTTCACACTTTAAAGTAATTAATGAAAATTGCTTTGAGGTATCCTTGAATCACGCTGATCAATATGAGTCTGTTAATTAAATTTCTAGCCTAAAATCAAATCAAGCATTAACTTAAGCTTGCTCTCTGAATATTTATGGCCAGGCTGAGCTGTCGGGATGTCCTTTTAATATCGCCATCACAATATTGTCAGTGTTTGGATTTAAAGCTGTTTGTCCTTCGCGAGAACCGTTTTGAATTGGCAACTGAAAGTCAAATCAAAGCCACAGGCAGAGTCGGCATGACACAAAACACAAATGCACGTCAACAATGTGCTGTGTTGTTGCTATTGCTGTTGCTGTTGTTGCATGTGGATGTGGCAGTTGGGCCAGGCAATTGAACATGCCAAAGCGAATGTGGAACGACAGAAGAAGCACTGCAGGACAGCCAACCTGCAGGGCAGCTAAAATAGATAGCCCGTTGACCATTTCTCCTGATCCTAAGGGGGGGTTTCTTTCTCTTTCTCTTCTTTTTTGGGAAAAGGGCAAGTGTGGCAGGAGCAGAAGGAGGATGGAGGATAGAGCCGCACCAACAATGCAAATGGAAATGTGCAACGCAGCGAGGCACACAAAGCCACGCTGCAAAACGACAGGACTGTCAAAGTGACGACCATCCGCTTTTACGGGGTCTGCCATTTCGACGACGATGCCATCGCCGATGGCTATGTGCCACTGCCAGCTGTATTTGCACTAAAAGCTTTTGTTAATGGTTGCGTCAATATTTTGCCATGCTTTAATAACACAGAAAACGGAGCGAAACCGGAGAACCGAAAACGCCAATCGGGAAATGAGAAAAACATATATATGAAAAAGGAAAAACCAAGCCACAAAACACTAAATTCACTTTCTGCATTTGACGAATGGAATCGAATACAAATATGGATGTAACCCAAGACCAAAAAGTAGAAACTGGCAGGGAAAAAAAAACCACATAAATTCATTTGCCATGCTAACCCTTTTCCAGGGTCATACATACATTTTTTCGGCAACATCTAACCAAGTTACCTCGCTCTGCTGCCTTTTCACTTTTCCAACCGTCGGAAAAGCCAGCATTTACACAATATAAACTTTACACGTACAATCATCGCACATACGAAAGGCGAGCGTTCGCACATACATTTTGTATGGCCAGGATGGCCGAAGCTCTTGGCATTTCGGGCACGTAAAACATCAACGCATAAATAAAAAAAAAAAAAAAAAAAAAAAAAAGAAAGTAAGAAAAGGAATAAGAAACCCGGACACTCCATGGAAGTTGAGGCTGTCGAACAGACGGAAAAGAAATGCCGTCCGCCGATCAAAAGACAACACAATGTGCTGCCAATGCGAGGCCAAGAAGGTGACTCCGCCAACATGTTGAGCTGAACACGTAGCCTTGTGACTGATTGGACTACAAGGATACAAGGATGCGGAGTGCATCCGATTGGAACTGGTTCGAAACTCCAGACATTGGGCGATTGAGGAATCATTGAACTGGGATACAGATTCAACAGCACAGAGCTTCAATGTGTAGTTTTTTAAATGAACTTTTAAGAAACTTTGTCGATGAGATTTAGCTATTTTTAAACAAATCTCTTCTTTTCCAGATTTAAATGCTATACGATTGGAAAAAATATGTTAAGATTTGAATGCAAGTTTGATAAGAATTAAATTTCAAGCTCAGAAAGGTATAACATTCCATGAAATGGTAATTTTTGGCTTGGTAATGAAGAAAAACATCATAAAATTTTACTAAGAATCTGAAAAAAATCACTTTTTGAGTGTGGTACACAGTTCGACGGGGAATTTAAATACGAACTCAACAAGATATAACATTCCATGATACGATCTTCTTTGGCGGTGTAATGAAAGAAGAAAAAGAAGATACTGATATTTTGAGACACAAATCGGGACAGACCGATTTTCGCATTTTTGGAAAGGGGTAACATCATAAAATTTTACGAAAAATCGAAAAAGTTTACATTTTTAGGCTGGTAAACAGTTAAATTGCGAGCTTAATGATGTATGACACTTCGTATATCGACCATTTTCGACAATGTTGTGGGAAATATACTAATAGTTTGGAAATCAAATCAAAATTATGACTTTTTAGTAAAATTCGCGATATCATCGTCAAATTAAGACGCTGAACCAAATAAAAAACTGTTTTGTGCAGCTTACGACCCGTACAAACTTTCTGTATCATTTTTTTGATGATTATCAAAAATTTATATTTTCCCAAATTTTGCATTTTTTGTAAGGGGTACCATCATCATTTTTTCGAAAAATTGAAAAAATATTTTTTGGTTTAGATTTGAGGGTCAGCTGGATATTTTGAATGTGGATTAAAATCCACGCTCATCAAGGTATGAGAATCCACATCCCGACCATTATTGGCTTAGTTATGAGCATAATGCTGTCAATTTGAGGAGAAAATCTGCGATAACCAATTTTCGCATTTTCGCTAAGGCGTACCATTATCTTTTTTTTGCAAAAAATGGCCTTTTACATATTAAAGTGTGAATGCAGTTTGACGAGGAATTAGAAAACAAGCTCAACAAACTCCATATTCCAAACCTTTTTCTTATGGAGTATAATGAAAAAATCATTAAATTTTTAACTTTAAAGAAGTATTTAAGAATATCACTAAAGAATCTTTCACTAAAGAACGAAAACCAATAATTTTATTAGCAAGTCGATTTCTCCCTAAACTATGGCAGACAAAATCCCTCGGTAAATCCCTTTAGACGTTTTGCGTTCTACCTGTTTTTCCCTTTTGCCTGTGCAGGCCTATGTCATATGTCAATATTTAGAGCAGCTCCGTGAGCCTTTCTTTGTTGGTTATCCTCTTTAGACGGCTTTATCTACCAGTTTTGGTTTTCGTTCTGGCTACGCTTTGGGAAAATTCAATTTGTTATAATTTGAAAATTTCATTTTTCGTTATGTAAATGCGCTCGATAAGCCGCAGAGACGAATGCCCAGAAAATAAAAGAACACATGACCGGGACCTAAGGTGGTCGGAAGGTGTGGTTGGAGGAGTCAACTCCTTGGCGCCGCAGAAAAGCAATTTGTGGCAGCTTAAATGTCAATGGGATTCATCCACGATTTCCCGGTTATGGCAATCGGCATTAGTTGTTGCCACCAAGTGTTATAGTCGCTGTATACACTGTTGGGGCTATAAATAGAGCGGCACGTTTTGGTTATTTTTAGCCTGTGGGTGGGAATATGGGCGTGTGCTAGGGATTTCCAAAGCCTCAGGTTGAGCCATAAAAATAAAGTTCTGTTTGGCCAGCTAAAAACAAATTGCAAACAATAAAGCGAGAGGTGAAAGGTACTCCGCCCACACACATGTCCTTCAGACTCCCCAATCAGGTGCCAAAAACTTCAGAGTCCTCGCTTCGCCTTGGCCAAATTGTCAATGAATCGCCCTCTGGGAAAGATGTTGTTCTATTCTCCTCCCCCCTTGTTTGTTTTTGTTTTTACCTTCAGCAAAAGTTCTTCGTATTTGCTTTTGTTAATGGCGCCCGTTGTTGTTTCGGTCATTGATTCGAGCATCCAATAAGAGTCGTGTCCTTGTTCTAGTCTCTCCTGCTAATTTAATGAAATTCGATTTCATTGTCTGCCACACTTTCTCTACCTCACTCTCAAATGACCGTCATAAGTTTCCCAGAACATCCCCCAACGAAATATTATTAGTATAAATCCTTGTTATTGGTTTTAGTACTG